GGGGCGGGGGAGGAGTGTAGTTTCATTTTATTTTGACGAGCAAACCACAGCCCCTCTTCACTCGCTCACTTTTTGGCTCAATCTGTCATCTCGACACCCTACACCCGATCGGTTACGTAAGAATCCTAGTGCTGTAGTTACCGCCTGACTGCAAAGTGCACTGTGATGAAAAGTGTCGTTGACGGTAATTTTACTTCGGTGCTGATCCGAGATGTACCTTTCTCGATGGTTTGTGTATATTATCAACCAATTTAGAGCCTATTTTACCATTCCGGGTACTACTACAATCGCCCATCCTCACCCCGCTGCCCCAACACACACACACACACACACACACACACACACACACACACACACACACANNCGGACAGGACGCTTTACGCAATCGGACCCCGATGGTAGCAAGGGATTTCGCCCACCTCCCAACTCAGTCTACAAATGTTCAACCATCCTACCTGAATTCAACCTGGTAAAGGATACTTTGGAAATCGTGAAACGCGGTAAAACCGGGCTTTGCATTTGTGTCTGTGTGTGTAGTTGTAGGACAGTGAAAAACCTGAACGAAAAGTAAACACTGTCCGCGTGGGCTTCACTGGTCATTTGTGAAACCCGTTATGCACCGTTTATATTAAACGCCAAATCCGCACGGATTTGGGATTTGTGCGTTCATGCATTTGGGAAGAGTGTGTCAATTTCCGAGAAGGAAGGTAAACGAAGAAATATCCGAAACGTCACGTGATACTCCATTCGTCAAACATGTGCACACATGAAAAAAAAAACGCAACCGAATAAGCGGCATGTGTGTGCATGAGACCGCGACGATCATTAGAGTTTTCCCAAATGTGTACACCACAAACCCGAGTATATTTTTCTACTTGACGTTGTTTTTCTCTCTCTCTCTCTCTCTGCGTCAGACGATTATCAAATTGATCAGTGTGTTCCGCCTTTTATTTACGTTGTTTTACTGAGATCAAAAGTCCGGTCGTTCATCGGTAACCCCATCCCATGATTTTTAACTATCAGACACTGATTCCACTTCCCCTCCACTTCCTCGGGGACGTACCGGGAGGAAATAGCCTTTATGGTGCTTGGTCGCTTACCTTCAATGCACATGCTACGGTCAATGTACAACAAATGGGATCGTGTGCCCGAGCGCGCTCCAGCGCGACCACAAACGCAAGCAAAACCATACCCC